AAGGAAGTATTTCGACAGCATCTCGGAAGGAAGGAAGTATTTCGACATTACACTCGCGTCCTCCCACCCCCCACAGCAGCAGGCAGCAGTACCTCGCCAAAAGTTTGTGGGAGTCGGCTGCAGACTTTAGTGTGAATAGCCCTGTAAATGAAAGCTTTTGCACACACCCCAAGGTAGTTGGGATTCAGGGAAGCATTTATACAGAACGCACACAAATGCTTCTGTATGCACATATAGGCAGAGATGTTTCTCCCTCGATGCCAAAGTGCAACATCCGAAGTGGTGAGGCTGCTTATGCAGTGAACTGTGGCAGGCAGGATTGGGGCTGGGCTCTTGCTGTCAAAATTACTGTGGTCAGACTGCACACAGTAGTAAACGATGGTGAGTTTCTGCAGTATGGCTGAGCTTAACTGCCTGGCTGCTTTGTGGCTCAGTCTGTTGTGTGAACCAAGTCTTGGTTCTGTAAATCAACCCAAGCATTTGGATGAGTAGTATTTTAACGCATATACAGGTAGCCCTCGACTTATGACCATTCATTTAGTGAACATCTGAAGTTACAGCAGCACTGAAAAAAGTGACTTAAAATCATTTTTCATACTTAATGACCTCCTATGGTTGTGAGTGGGAGGGCTATCTGTACTTAGTAAAGAAAGGATGTTGCTTAATAACACAGCTGACTAGCATAATATATTACATTGGGAAACTAAGGTTTTGACACGATTGATACAAAGAGAATATTGTTTAGCTTCAACACAGCATAGCAAATTGATTAGAATTTTGAGAATGAGGGCTTTTCCGCTATAATTGATACCAATAACATAATTTCAATGATATTTTGATTGCCAGATCTGGGAATAACTGCCCCAGTTTAGTTTGTGTATAGTACAAGCACTGGGGACATATGGATGAATACTAGAGTATTCTGAATGTTATATAAGACTTTATTCATATTTGTTAGAGCATTAGCTTTTGGAAATGGAAATGAATGTATTAATATATGCTAATTAGATGCAGCCACATAAATATGGAACAAACTCTTTGAAATTGTTACAGCATTCAGCAGTTCCTCATGTTTATTTTTGAAACACTATGTTGTAATACTGATCCTCCCAGATTTTTACACCAATCCTCCTTTGGAATATGATAAAACTACAAAACATGTACTTCATGTATCAATGTACATAGGAAAAAAACAGACAAAACTTCCACTCTTGGAGCTATTAAAACAAGTGATATATAGTCCTTGACTTACAACCACAATTGAGCCTAAGATTTCTGTTGCTAAGATTTGTTAACTGAATTTTGCCCCATTTAACAAACTTTCTTGTCACAGTTAAGTGAATAACTGCAGTAGTTAAATTAGTAACAGGTGTGTGAATCTGGCTCCCCCATTGACTTTGCTTATCAGAAGGCCGAGAAAGGGAACACTGCGACTGTCATAAATATGAATCAGTTGCCAAAGGTCTAATTTTGATCACATGCATGGGAATGCTGTAATGGTTGTAAGTATGAAAAATGATCATGTCACTTTTTGCAGTGTCTAACTTCAAAAGGTCACTAAGTCAACTGTTGTAAGTCGAGGATTACCTGTAACAACATACCTTTCCTGAAGAGCTAAGTTTAAGCAAGACTAACATTGAATCAATGAAGGTATCTTAGTTACTTTTGCCTAGGAAAAGTGGCAAGAAAAGCAGCTTCTCTTATTTACAAGTGCTGTAGAGATTGATGCCCAATTATTTGTTAACATGAAAGAAAATGTCAAGGGAAAGAGGAATATCTTGTTCTGCTTTTGGCACTAAGATTTGGTAAGATATGTTATTTAGATATCTTACAAGTAATGAATACTACTACTATTGTATTTGCATTATTTGCCTTGATTTAAAATTTTAAGTGTCTGTAGATATAAGTAGTTGGATAAAAAATAATGCAATGCCAGTAAATTTTAAAAGTCAAAAAAGATTGGTGGATTTTTTTTAGTTATTTTGGCTGGAATTGGAGATTTTTCCCTTTGTCATATCATTGTGCAATCCCAAAGGTACTTTTAAAGAGAAGAAAAACTTGAGAAATTTTGCTCAACACAGGCAAGGCTTCTAGGTAGGTAGAAATAAAATCAATCATGTATATGGCATTGCATAAAAAAATCAAAATCTCTTTCCTAATATATTCTGTTCATACTGTGCTCAACTTCCTTTTTAGGACAAGATAAAACACTTGAAAACTTTTAACTTGGTACATAAATCAGTCTACATAAAAATGTGTTTTGTTTCTTGTGGATTAATCATGTTGTATGAACCTGAACAGTTGTTGTTTATTCATATTTTAATTTGTGAATAAGGGCAGTTAAAACAAAGGTTCAAGAAAGATTGAAAACAATGGCTTATTTTAAGCAGAGAAAAAATAATTTAGGAAGATTATAGTTTTGAGGCTCTTTAGTTAAGCAGTCAAATCCTACTTAGCTCAGAAAGTGTAATTGTTCTCTTTGTATGCATTTAACTTCTCTCAGTTAATGTTTGTATACATCAACACGTTTTTTACCTATGACTTATGCAGGGGTGGGATTTACTGGTTCTGTCCAGCTCTGTAGAACCGGTAGTTCTGAAGAGCAGCATAGAACCGGTTCTATGTCTGCTGAAGTTTTGGCCCACCCACCCGCCTGGGCTCTTACTGATCTTTATTTCTTGCTTTTTCAACCTCAGCTGCTGTGCAAGGCACAGCTGCAGTTGAAAAAGCAGGAAAAAAGTGCTGTTTCAAACGCTGCTTCTCTGCACTCAGGGTTGCTTAGTTGTCCAGGCAGCAAGCTGATGATGATTTACAGGTGTGCACATCGTAAATCACTGAACCTTGTAAATCACAGAACCGATCAACAGAACCGATCACAGAACCACAACACTAAATTTAGTGAACAGCTTAAAGTTTACTTAAATCTAGGTGGTCAAAAATGATTGTACTGAAAACTAATTTAAAAAAATTCTAAAGTAAAAAATACAAGCTTCATGAGGATGTATATTGTTTATTTACTGTCAGTAATTTACACAAGGCAGTATTAATGGCTTGAACACTTGCAAATTATATACAGAGAGCAATGTACAACTAAATGAAGCTTTCATCTTTTAGTAATCAAACCATTTTAAATGATACATTTGAAGACTTTCTTTAGAAATAATTTATTGCCAAACATGGACAAAAAAGGGATGGAGCGAATTTACAAAGTAGTAGATTCTCTTCTTTCCTAGAAAATTGCAGAAGATACACATATTTCAAAAGTATAGTCATAAAACTTATCCCTCATTTATACAAAAGTAATACAAATCATGGTTTCATTAACGATTCTGTGGAGTCTTTACAAAATATGTTTTACTAACAACTTAATAGCACATAACCTGTTGCTGCTGTTGAAGAAAGTGAAAGCAGTTTTAAATAATTGGCAATCATCTGCTTTCAAGTATAAGTTAAACAAAACTGCCAAGGACACTACTGCGCTATATATTTTAAACCTGATTTTAAAATAAGACTTAAGTTGTGGTACCATCAATCAGAAGTTCTTAATTGCTTTTTGAACAGATTACCATAATACACAAAAAAACCCTAACCAACAGCTTAAGAAGAAATTTGTTATTGTTATCTCCATTTAAATTTATCCTTTAAAATAGGGCCAGGCAATATATGGTTGTCTGATGTTGAACATTAGTTTTTAGCAATGCTTGCTAACATAACCAGTTAGGAAGGGTAACTTGCAGTTGCTTGTTCAGCAACATTTGTAGAAATACATTGTCCAGTTCTGTTCAAAACTGAGTCAAATTTAACTTGAGAGAAAAACACCTGCCAGACTGTGGTCACAGAGTATAAGGACGATCCTTCCAATGTTTTTATTCTGTCAAAAGTTATATTGGAACTACTCTTTGGCATTATCAGTACAGGAAATTGGGAATGAGGCAAAGCTCTGTTCTATCCTGTATTTTCACCTATTTCACAGTGAGAAAATAAGAGGATTTCTCAAGTCTTGAGAAATGGGTCTCTATTTTGAATTTCTGCAAAATAAGGCACAAGGCTAAATACTGTATTTAAAATATGACTGGTTTAAAGTTTAAGGAAATTAAGTATGCAAGAACTTAAATACCTCTGCTTTAGATTTTAAAATACTGAACTTTATGAAAATCTAAAATACAAAAAAGGTCAGTTTTGAAGTCAAAATTTAGATTTTTAAAAAGTCCTCATAAATTTGAAAACCTATCACACCAAATAAAAAGAATGTTTAAAAACGTTTGTAAAAACGTTTCTATGAAGGCCTCTGGCAACAAAGAATTTTACTTGAGACAACTAAGCCACTCTTATTAGCAAGATTTTTTTAAACTCCTGTTTTATTTCAGACTATAGAACACATTAAAAATTATATATATAAAAATACCAGATATCCCAAAGGGGACATTAAAGTCTGTACCCAACAGTTTAGAGTCCATGAACCCATAGTAATAGGAGAAGAGGGGAAAAAAACAGCAATGAGCTAGAGCACGGGTGTCAAACTCACAGTATCATGTTCCCTTTGCGGAGGTTGGGTGGGCGTGGCCTGCATGTGACACATCCAGCCCACGGGCTGCCAGTTCGACACCCCTGAACTAGAGGATCCTCAGGTTTGTGAGCTAGTGATTTAACTATTGCAACAGTGATTCAATCTCTCTCACCAAAAATTTTGGTACAGCATTTCACTTATCCAAAATTGGCACAACATAGTTTATCCTCCCCAGAATTCTTTTTTAAAAATCAAAAAAGTCCATGACAAATTAAGGGGAGAAATGCATGGGAAAAGAACTACTTAAATAACTCTGGGTTACTTTTCCTACCAATTCTGCCACTCTCAAATTCTGTACATATGACTGAGAGAAGCAGGTCTGTGTAAGAAGGGAAAAACCACCATCTCCTATCATTGAAGTTGTAGTCTCTTAGAGCTACTTAAAATACATGTAAGCCCATATGCATGAAATATGTTGAGATTTATAATGATCACTTAAGTTGCTTTAATTTTCCACAGTTGCACATTTCCAGAATAAAATATTAACAAATTTCCTCACTATCCTCTAAGTCATTTTTCTGGAAGAAAATGGATAGTCTAAACAATACTTGTCAGCAGAGTTGTTAAAATTGGTGTTTCATTTTTGTATATATAGTTTTATTTACCATTCACTTCCCTCTTTTTAACAGTGTTGGTAGTATTCTAAAATACCAGTATAGAGAAAATGACATTCCCTTTTGTTTCACCCTAGAATCCTGAAGGTTCTGTATGTTGGCTTTGTGCTCTAGCAAAAATGCAATTATCATTTATTTGCACTCTGTTGTCTTTTCTCCAACCAGCTAAACTGGTGTTCACTGTAAGGCCACTATTAGTTTAAAAAAAAAACAACCCAAGAGGCACTTTAGATTATAAGATACTGCATCAATTAACCATTTATTGGCACTGGACTAGGCCAATTGCTGTTAAAGCATTCAATTAGCATACAAACTTAATTTTCCTAGTCTGATGAATGGCAAAAATGTATTTTTTCTCAAAAATATAAAAAACTTTTTACAAAAACTACAGGATAATTGGGTTTCTTTTAGAACAATGACTAAATTTGGCCTGTGCAACAAATGAAACAAAGAAGGGAAATTTGCTAATTGTTTTTGTTCTTAAGCAAAGCAAATATATTTATTGCATTAAACATTAGAACCCAAGTGTCAATCCCTTTTGTAAATATCCTCTTTAAAGCTCAATATGATGGAACCTAGGATAAAAATATAATTAAAGATATTCAGAATTACAGGTGACACTGGCTTTGACCAGTATTAAAGCATCAACAAAGCTATTATTTTTATTATTTCATTGCAAAATTAAGTCTTCAAAATGTGTAACTGAGTCAGAAGATGGAATATTTTTTAATTTTACCATTTTTAATGTATCATTTGTCTAATATCACTCAGCTGCTTTACACTTTAATTCAATTTTAGGGTTTTTTGGCTAATATAATGGCTACTTCTGTCAACTACAGTTGTATATACTCGTGTTAGCCTTCTTTAATAAGCTACATTTGACATCTATAAACTGAATTACTGTTTGGGAAAAACAAATTTGTGCTTGGCTTCCACCATTAATCCAATTCGCAATATCTTAGTAAAAGGAAAAAAGAGTGTTCGCAGACAATGGTTTATTCATGGCAACTGAGAAGAATTCTCTTTTTAGTTTAAGTTAACTGATGCCCAAATTGTAAAATAATGAGGTTTTGTCAAATTGTATGATCTAGCAAAAACCAATCAAGACCAAGAATTCCTATGTATGATTCATTTTGATTTCATGATTCAGTGGCAATCTTCTTTTTTTTTCCTGGTACCATCTAAAAGCACTTTTTATTAATATGGAAGAAGTGCATTGTAAACTTGAAATATAGGTTAATTATTTGACAAAGCAAAGCCATTTACCATATGAAACAATTGGTGGTGGTTGTCTAAGTCAGGAAAACTCTTCAATAGCTCTCTTAAAATCCAACCAGTTGAAAGAACTTTGCATGTTTCCAAATAATTTCTTTCAAGCACATATCTACAAGTTAATAGTTTAGGCTTTATAGTTGAAAAAGGCAGAATAATTTAAAACCTTGAGTTAGCTTTAAAAAAAGTCTATTAAAAGTTAAAACTGATTCAAAAATAATGAACAGGAAGAGATTTTGATTTTAAGAGAAATTGGCAATCAGAACAGCAGCAGTTTTTACCCACACATCATGAGGTCTTGACAAGACCAGGTTTACTTTTTAAACTCCTGCTGTAAACTAGTAACACAAATCAGTCTTTTCAACATCACTGTAGCATGAGCTGTTTGAGGTTGTCATGAAGGATGGTATCTTTGACATCACGGAATACCAGACGAATATTTTCTGTATTAATAGCAGTGGTGAAATGGTGGTATAAGGGCTTCTGTTGCTGGTCCCGGCGTTTGGTACGAAAACAATCCACCAGGAATTTTTGGACATCTGTTAAGTTGTGAGGGTCCCCTTCAAATTCTGGGAAATAGTCTTTGATGCTCACTTTTTGCACTTTTTCCTCAAGCAAGTCTGTCTTGTTTAGAAAGAGAATGATGGACACATTGCTGAAAACCCGATTGTTAACTATAGTTTCAAAAATGTTCAAAGATTCCGTAAGGCGATTTGTTAGCCGGTCTTCCATAAGTACCTGATCAAACTCACTTGATGAAACTAGGAATAGTATTGAAGTGACACTATCAAAGCACTCAAACCAACGTTTTCTTTCTGACCTCTGGCCACCTACATCAACCATCTTGAAGGGAACATTTTTAATTTCAAAATCGTACTCATGTATTCCTTTTGTAGGTCTTCGTGCTAGCAGAATATCTTGCTGAGAGGGAAGATAATCCTGGGGGGAAATAATCTGAGTTGTTAATGCAACTACTGAAAAATAAAATAACTGATCTTACATTTGAAAAGAGGAAAAACTATTACATTTTAAGAATTCACAGAATGATTATATGAAATGCAATATCAAAAGTTAAAATAGTGGTAAGAGTAAGCTTTTAGCAAATTAATAGTGAAATTTCTAATTTTAGATTGTTGTTTATTGAGACAAGTTGGTACCAAGTAACGTAAGAATGTAAAGCAATGTGTAACCTTGCATAATGGCCATGAAAGCAAAAATTTCATTGTTCCTTGAAAAATGAGTAATCTATTTTGACCTTGTCACCTTAACATAATACTGAGTGAGCAAAGCATTGTATACATAAATAAATAAATAAATAAATAAATAATACTGAGTGAGCAAAGCATTGTATACATAAATAAATAGCACTTTTACACAGAACCTATTGGAGCCCTCATTTCCATGCTTTAGACCCTTCTGCCACTGTTAACTGATAAAGATATAAATTTTAAGAGCATGTGTAATGTATCCAAAATGGGCAGGTATTATATCTAACTAGATACTACCTAAAATGAATCCATTAACCAAGTCAATAGTCTTTAAATTCCTAAGTTAGTAACTCTTAGGAAATAGATGAAACGGTTCCCACTAAACTATGAGAGGTGGGTCAAGAATTATAGTTCAAGTGACTTTAGAACAATCAGCAAACAGTAGACAATATCAATACACAATATCAATATTTGACACTGGATCTTAGAATATCATAGGGTCTACAACATTTAGTTTGCAATCAAATATTAATTAAATGTAATTATAGTTTGAAAATGCTACATCTTATTATTGATATCTGAATCTAAAAATAAGACAAATTTCTTTCTAGTATTTCACAGTATCCAAATACCAAATTTAGAAATAAAACTTACTGGATCTCCAAGTTTATCCAAATTGTCCAGAAAATATTTTATTGATTCTCCCTAAAGTGAAAAATAAATACAATTATTAATTATGCTCTGAAACAGACTTTTAAAGAGCAATTTAATATAAAGTAAGGTTTTGTGCATGAAAGTTGCAACCAAATTCTCAGTATATTTTACAGATAAGTTAAATACTCACCTGTAAAATATCCTGAGAATTTCGGTCTTTGACACACACTGCAACCATTCAGTTGATGAATTATGCAGTTAAACACATCTATTTTGAAGGTTACAAACATTTATCCTTAATACTTGTGCTGTGGACAATGTGTACTGGACTAAAGTATGTAAATTACCCCCAGGTTATAAACCCTATTTAAAGAAAGATAAATAAGGATAATTACCGGTACTTTGGGGGGAGGGGTTTACATAATTGCTCCCAATGATTCCCCAAAACATTTTGTTTTCTGAACAAATTACAAAATGTTTCCTCCTACTCATTCACTCTGCAACATATATGTTTAAAATCTTATTTAGCATTTGTCAGAGGGTAGTACCATTGACTATTCCGGAAAACAGAATAATTTACATTGTGCAGGTCATTGTGCACCATTTAGTGAGATCTCTCTTTCGATACTATTATGCTCAAAGCATATGATTATATTTTAAGAGAAGTGCTGCTGTTGGTCTATGGTTGCAAAAATCAGGAATCTGCTAGTATCTTCTCTCACTAATGAAGATTAAAAAAAAATAAGCTGCAGCTTATTTGATCAGATGCACAGAGTGGCTAAATTGGTGTAAGATGTAAATTGGGGTAAGGTGGGGGGGAGAAAGGAAGAGACAAGTTGGTTATGAAGATACAAGTTACCTGTGACACAGATTACAAGTATCTTATCAATTAACAGTTACATGTTTTAAAAAAAAACATTGTGTTTTTGAGACTTTCTAAGATTGCCTAAAAGTTTTTAATCTATTGAGTTTTACAATTTGTCACTTGATCTGCTGTTCTACAACAGCCACGTTTAGATCTGTTATGGAGTGATGAAATGTTTGAAGGGATTATCTCCATGTTTAATATTAGCATATATCTTTTATTAGATAGCATTGCTTATATCTTTTAATAGATAGCATTGTTGTGATCCTCTGGCAGCCTGCGGAGATGGCAGCAGAATTGGACAGTGAGGAAGAACATGGGCCAGTCCAGGAGTCTGGGGAGGACTCAGATGATGCATCCAATACAGAGATGGGGCCAGGGCCATCTGGGAGTTATGTGCTGACTCCAGAGCCTCCAGAATCTGACAGCAGTGAGGCAGAAGAACAAGGGGAGCCTGTTCCCTCTGTGTGTGTGCGTGCGTGCAGAGCTACCAGAAGGCAAGAATAGTTAAGACAAAAAAGGCAACTCGGGAGTAAGGCTTGGAGGTGATTGCCCTCCCATAAGATATAAAGGAAGTGCAAAGGGACAGGAACCTTTGCAGGAAGCAACGCTGCTTGCTCTGGTTGGTTTGGAACCTGAAAGCTCTATGGTGAATTTGTGCTCCGTTTGGTTTTGAAAGACTAATTGGTACTTTAGTCGTTGGCAGCACTTCAAGTAAGATAAAGGTGTGTTCTTATCAGACTTCTCCCTAAGAACTTTGGCAGACTTCCATGGGACTATTTATAACTGGTTGAGACTCATTACAGGCTGTGAATGACAATAATTCAGAGCCGTTGAACTTGTTATGGTTTGCTGATAACTGGTGCTGACAGCAGCGGAATCAGACAGTGGGAAAGAATGGGGACCAATCAGGGAGTCTGGAGAGGACTCGGATGAAGGTCCTGCGTCTGCTGCAGAGATGGGGCCAGGATCATCTGGGAGTGGGGTGCGGCCTTCGGAGTCTGGCAGCAGCAAGGCAGAGGACCCAGGGGAGTCTGTTCCCAGTGTGCATGTGTGCAGAGCTGCTAGAAGGTGAGAGTAGCTGAAACAAAAGGGGCGACTTGGGAGAAAGGCTGGGAGGTGATTGCCCCTCCCATAAGGTATAAAGGTCAGGCAAAGATGACGAAACCTTTGCAGAAGCAAAGTAGTTTGTTCAGTTCAGATTCATTCTTGAAACTCTTTGTATTTCGATTGTTTTTTTTCCTAGTTCATTTGATACTTCTGTTATTGGCAGCACTTCACAGAAAAGTAAGGTGGGTGCTTATCTCAGGGGACTGTTTGAGATTAATTCCAGTTGAGAATGAAAACAACTCCCAGCATTGCAATAAAATGTCTTGTTTTTAAAATAAGTGTGTACGTAATTATGGTTTAGGAAGCCTTGGTCAGAACAAAACTAAAACAAAAGGGTTTTGGATTTAACGTGTGTTTGTTGGTGTCTCAGGAAGCCTTGATCAGAACAAGTAGAAATTTGATAAGATATATGTTGTCATTTTAACTATTCAGTCATGTCAGATGCTTGGTAACTTTATATAAGATAAGATATATACAAATTACTATTTTAATATATGGAGGGACAATATGATATACTGGTAAGATGAGAGACAGACAAGTTTAAAACTCTTCTCAAACATAGTAGCTTGGTTGTTAACTGGGCCAATCGGTATCTTTGACCCAATCTACCTTACAAATTTTAAATGGGGAAATACTGGATGAAGTAATTCTATGTATGCTGCCCTATCATTATTGCCATTATCATCGCCATCCTCCAAAATGCTCTTTCAAATTCAAAACTGCCATTTCAAATCTAAACAAAACAGGCTTTTTATTCTTTCAATAATTGTGTCATCTTATTATGCACTCACACACACACACACCCCAATCCTCCATATAGACATATATTAATCAATAAAGCAGCAATCACAACTTCTGTCTTATCATTGACTGGAGCCATTGAATGGAGAAGGAACTAAGAAAACAGCAAAACATACATGCTTAAAGTTGAGAAATATAAACACTTCTTGTTTAGCAACTGTTAGCAAATAAAATGCTTTCAAAAATTATTTTCCAATCAATGCATATGAAACAAATTTTATGCTGGAATGAAGGTAACACTGACGTAGTTGTACAAGAGAACTTTATTTAAATGAGGCAGCAAAACCAGTGGTATTCACAACATATTCTCTCTCCCCCCTTCTCCACCCCCTTCTCTCTCAACACATAAAATTTCAAATTAGAGAATGGATTGTGGATACTAAATGAGATGGTATAGAAGGATTGGGACATCAGATAGATATCACACACTGATTTTGGAAACATATATTGGTAAACTTGTCTAAAAAGAGGTCATTCTCCCTCCCTGCCCCAATTCTCTATAGAATAATACTATGCACTCTATAGTCATTAAAGTGGAACAGGATGATGATGCAGGAAGCACCAGAAGCCACACCCACCATTGAGGAAGACCCTAATACCAGTTTCAGGGTAGTTTTCTATGAGATCTTCTTGAGTTAAATATATAAGATCCATATACATATAATGCTGAACTTATGACCAAAATTAAGCCCAAGATTTCTGTTCCTAAGCATAACAGGCGTTAAGTGAGTTTTTATGCCCTGTCTTGCTACAGTTGTTAAGTGAATCACTATAAATGTTAATGGTTTTTAAATGAATCTGGCTTTCTCACAAACTGCTTGTCAGATTATTGCAAAAGATGATCACTTGACCTCAGGACACTGCAATTGTCAAAAATATGAACCAGTTGCCAAGTATCTGAATTCTCATGTGACCACAGGGATACTGCAATAGTATTAATGTGACAACCAGTCAGAAGCCTTTTTTTTTCAATGCTGTTGTAACTTTGAATGGTCACTAAACAAATTACTGCAAGTTCAGGACTACCTGTAGTGTTATCTGCACCCACTTCAAGGGCCAGTAGAAACAATGACAAAAGAAATTGTGTGTGAGGATTATTAAAGTTATTGAATCACATAAGAGTTCTTGCAACTATTCACAGTCCTAGATGTGTTTTAATTAAAATAAATTGCCACAGTAGTGAGTAAAGCAGCAATCAGAGGGCAAAAGTCAAGGTGGGTGAAATACATTAGAAGTAATGTGTGGTATTCTAAATGACAGTTTCGAATAGTCATTAAGCAAAGTAGAGAATACTAGGTATCAGAGTCTTAGTGGATCCAGACATAAACAAGAGATAAAATACTGCTTCACACTGAGGTGACTGATACTTTGCTTACAAAGCAGACGAAGTGAGGGAATCATGACTTAAATGGTTAACAAATAACTGTTAGAACAGTGAAACCTCAACCACAGCTTTGTGCTCTCCTAATTAAAAGTGATGGGGCATGGCTTACAAATGTTTGATGAACAGTTTACATTCTGAAAATTATCATACAGTGCTGTATGCTCTTCTAATGTGCCAATTCTGTTGGCCATCAACAGAATTGGATAGTTTTGTACCATGAATTTTAAATGACTGCTATTAAAAAGACTGAAATTTAACACTCCTCAAACCTGCCATTCACAGTCTGGCATCATTCCAACCACTCTTTCTGTGTCTGCATGCTCAATTCATAATGGTTGAATTTTTTCCGTTTTTTTTTTTAGTTTTATTTGTAATCCTGCAAATCACTAAAGTCTCAAGACCTGCCAGTGTTTCTTTTTTGTTTGTCATTGGTCTTTTTATTGCTACAATCCAGTAGTGATTCATTACCATTAGCCCAGAAGCAGCTTGATTTACAGAACTCCCCATGTTTGGAAGAACTTGAGCTGCATGTAAAGAAGTTCTATTAACTCTTTCAGTTCATATACTTAAGAATCATCTTAACTTAGTGAGTTCAGGTACTATTATCTATTATAATATTATATTACTCTTATTATTATATACTTTTTTCTACTATTACCAAACTATTACCAGGGCCAAATGAACCCTTAATAAAAACTTACATTGTTTTTTTATAGAACACAAACAATAACAAATAGTTTTGTTGATTAAAATTACTTATTACACCAACTTTTATGCATCACAGCCAACTTCGTTGGATGTATCAAGTATAATTTGTGAGTGAAATATTATATAAGGGCTGAGTGAAATATAATGCCTTATATAAAATTTGCACAAAGATAGCCATAATGA